GGAGCCTGCAGTGGATAGAGCATTGGCCTGTGGACCAAAAGGTCCCGGGTTTGATTTCAGTCAAGAGTACTGAGCCAAACATACTAGGGCTATTTATTTATTTTTCAAAGTGACTTATGACTTGTGACCAACGGTTTTTTCCCTCCATTTTCTTAATTAAAGCCTCAAAGAAACATTTTCAAGCAAAATTTTTGAATTTTGCAGGCTGGTTAATGTTGTAAATGAGGGAATTTATTAGAATTAGGGAAAAATGGATTAAACTGGAGTTGTGATTAGTTTGTGGTGGGGCTGACTGAATGAGAATCCTGAGGGACATGCAGAGCCTGATAATCACATGATTTTTCATTTAGAGATTCTTTCCTAAAAAGAAATCTTTTGAGCTTTGGTGTATCTTTATTTCAAATCTAAATTTCAGACTAGCAGAATGTAAATTACTTTTTCTCCTTTAAAATATAAAAAGATGAAAGCAATACTTTTTAGAGCAATATGTGATTTTTTTCCTGTTAAAACTCATTCACCCATTCATTCAGTTATTCACCCATTTGGAAAACAAGGTAGATAGAGAAAGAAATAATAAATGTGATTAAATTATATAGGATCATGGAAAATGATATGTGCTACATGAAAAAAGAAAGTAGAGCAGGACAAGGGAAATAAGGAGTGCAGGATGTTACAGGACAAAGTGGGAGGACTGCAACTTTAAATAAGGCTGCATGATTGGTTGGCCTCATTTGAACAAAGACTTGATTAATACAGGCAATAGTATTATTCCTACTACTGGCCAAGGAAATAGCTAATGTAAGGACCCTAAGGCAGGAGCTACAATCAAACAACACAGGAAGGTTTGTAGCCTAGAGAGGCCCAATCAACTAGCCCAGCTGGTGTAGTTCAGTGGGTTGAGCTTCGTCCATTGGACCAAGACATCCTGGGTTCGATTTCTGGTGAGAAATTGATTTCTGGTCAGGGCACATGCCTGGGTTGTGGGCTCAATCCCCATTAGGGGGATGTTTCTATCTCTCTCCTCCCTTCTGCTCTGAAATCAATAAAATATATATATATACACACACATATATATTAAAATGACAGGTCAACTAGTTTGAGGAGAGCCTTGTAGGTTTCACTGTGAGCATCTTTAACTTTTACTGTGAAGGAAATAGAGTCAATGCCTCCCTACTGTCTGACTGGATCCCCTTTTCTCCCAACCCCTTCTAATTGTATTTTATTTTTTAGGGCAATTTTTTTCCTTTTTATTAAATTTATTGGGGTGACACTGGTTAACAAAATTAATACAGATTTCAGGTGCACAATTCTACAATATATCATCTGTACACTGTATTGTGTTCACCACCCCAAGTCTCTATCTATCACCATTTATCCCCTTTACCCCCCTCCATCTCCTCCCCCACCCCAACTATATTAAATTCTTTTTAAGCCCTAGCCAGTTTGGCTCAGTGGATAGAGCATCGGCCTGGGGACTGAAGGGTCCCAGGTTTGATCCCAGTCAAGGGCATATGCCCGGATAGTGGGCTTGATCCCCAGTCAGGGGAGGGCAGGAGGCAGCCAATCAATGATTTTCTCTCATCACTGATGTTTCTATCTCTCTCTCCCTCTTCCTTCCTCTCTGAAATCAATTAAAAATATATTTTAAAATATATATATTTTTGGATATAATATAGTATGTCTTAACCTTAACAATAGCTCCTTATTTAAAAAAAAAAAAGTAGATCAATGATGAGAATCCCCACCCCCAAATGGTGATTGAGCCACAACCCAGGTATGTGCCCTTGACCGGGAATCAAACCCATGACCTCCTAGTTCATGGGCCTATGCTCACTGAGCCACACTGGCCAAGCCCAACTGTATAAATTTTTTAAAATTGTTGCCAAGCTAATGCTGAAATATGATAATTGTTAGTTTACTTTCATTTTCTTAATGGGGAGGTTGAGTGTCTTTCATGTTTATTATCTATTTAGAATTGCTCTTTCTGAATGGCCTATTTATATTCATAACTCAGTTTTTTTATTGGGTTGTTTGTATTTTTTATATATGTGTCTTAGCAGTAATAGTGGTAGTCGTAACCCTTTATATGTTAGAGTCATTACAAAATTTACCTGCTAATCTGACATTTATCTGTTGACTTTGCTTTTGATATCTTCTGCCATAAAATTACATGTATATATAGATGAATTTTAAAAATGATTTCTTTTGCCGAAACCAATTTGGCTCAGTGGATAGAGCATCGGCCTGCGGACTGAAAGGTCCCGGGTTCGATTCCGGTCAAGGGCATGTATCTGGGTTGTGGGCACTTCCCCAGTGGGGGATGTGCAGGAGGCAGCTGATCGATGTTTCTAACTCTCTATCTCTCTCTCTTCCTCTCTGTAAAAAATCAATAAAATATATTTAAAAAAAATGATTTCTTTTATAGCTCTCAGATGTTCAGCCTTGATCAGAAATTCTTTACAAACCCTAGGTTGTATAAATAGTCTCTTAAATTTTCTTCTTAAGATTTCTATGGTTATTTGTTTTCCTTTTGGGTGTTCAATTCAACTGGATGTAGTATTTGTATTGGCTTTGTAGCTCGAATTACTACATTACATTCTGCAGTAAGAATAATCTGTTTTGCTATCACAGTTATTAAATAAAACATCCTCTTCACATCAAATTAAAATATTTTCATATTAAAATGAAGAAGCAATTGTTAAGATTAAGATATACTACACCATATCCAAAAGCTGCTAAGAATGATCTTAAAGGGATATATTAATAGATTATGAGATAGAAAATATAGCAGGATGCCAGTGGGACCCAGAGGGACTGGGATCCAGAAAAGTGTAAAGGTCTGGGTCACCTCATCTCTCCTGACACATGGGAAGCTGGGGGTATGGGCACAGCCAAAGGCAGTGTGGCGGATACGCTGGACAGCAGATGAGGAGCTCTTGTTTAAAGCTTTCATTTTCCCAGAAAAAGCAGGATATCATCTACTGCTGGGAGAGGACGGGGAAGGGAAAGAGGGTGAAAGACGCATGTAGATTTAAGGAGAGAGGAATGTAGGAATTATATTATTGCAGAGTGGGAAAATAAAGAATTAGGGAAGTGTAAGAGGACTAGTAGGCAAAATTAAAGGCCCAAGAAGATTTTTGTGGTAATTGGTTTAAAATGAGAATTCTTCAGAGGTTATATGATTTTTTTTTTTTTTTTTTGCCAGCAAAGGTAGCTGATAAAGTGAATTTTAAATTTTTAGTAAACTTACATTTCACCTTTTTTTCCTAAGCAGCCATTTATTTTTAAATTTATCTTTATTGTTTAAGTATTATAGATCTTCCCCCCCCCCCTTTTTAAATCTTCACCTGAGGATATTTTTTTCCATTGATTTCTAGAGAGTGGAAGAGGAGGAGGAGGGGGAAAGGGAAAAAGGGGAGGGAGGGAGGGAGAGGATGAGAGAGAAATATGTACATGACATCAATTGGCTGCCTTCCTGGGAGGTACATGCCCCGGGAATGGAACCTATGACCCTTTGGTCTGCAGGCTGACGCTCTAACCACTGAACCAAACAGGCCAGGGCTAGATGTCCCTCTTCCCCCCCCCCCATTGCCCCCTACCACCCTACCCCTGCCCCCACCAGGCCTATCACACTATTGTAATTATGCTTATATGCATATACATTCTTTGATTAATCTCTTCCCAAGCCCCACCCTCATCCCCCTTCCCTGTAAGATTCATCAATCTGTTCCATGCTTCGTGTCTCCGGATTTATTTTGTTTGTCAGTTCATTAGATTCCACATATAAGTGAGATTATATGAAAAGAAACCATCAACATAATGAAAAGGGATCCCACTGTATGGGAGAACAATATTTGCCAATGATATATCTAATAAGGGGTTAATTTACAAAATACATAAAGAACTTATACAACTACACAAAAGGAAGACAAACAATCTAATTAAAAAATGGGCAAAGGACCCAAATAGACACTTCTCCAAAGAGGTCATATAGATGGTCAAGAGACACATGAAAAAATGCTCAAAATCACTAATTATCAGAGAGATGCAAATTAAAATAACAGTGAGGTATTACCTCACACCTGTCAGAATGGCTACCATCAACAAATCAACAAATGACAAGTGCTGGTGAGGATGTGGAGAAAAGGGAACCCTAGTGCACTGCTGGTGGGAATGCAAACTGATACAGCCACTACGGAAAACAAAGTGGAGTTTCCCCAAATAATTAAATATGGAACTGCTAGTTGACCCAGGGACCCCACTTCCAGGTATAAATCCTAAGACTCTGAAAACACGAATCAGAAAGAATTATGCACCCCTATATTCATAGCAGCGCTATCTACAAGAGCTAAGATCTGGAAACAGCCCAAGAGCCCATCAGTCAGTGAATGGGTAAAAGGCTGTGGTACATTTATACCATGGAACACTATGCGACTGTAAAAAAGGATCTCCTTCATCAGTGATGTTTCTTTCTCTCGCTCCCTATCCCTTCCTTTGTGAAATCAATAAAAATATATTTAAATTAAAAAAAAGGCTCTCTTACCCTTTGAGCCAGCATGGAGAGACCTGGAGAGTATTGTGCTAAGTGAAATAAGCCAGTCAGAGAAAGGCAAGTGTCACATGCTCTCACTTATAAATGGAATCTACGTAACCATTTAAGTCAAAGGCTTTATAGTTTCGTTTATTAGCACTTTAAAATCACAAATAAAAACAGTGTTTACTTTCTTTTCCTTATTAATACTTTCAGACCATTTAAGTCAAAGCTTTTTAATTTTGTGAACTGATTATATGTTGATGTTATTTAACTGTGGTTGATGATGAAAAGATTAGGTGGTAGGCTAGCAGTTAAATGAATCTGGGTGATTGGCTCGGGGCCGATAAGGGCAGTTGGAATATAAAAGCAAGAAGTATTTGCTGTCATTGTGTCACACCTTGCCATTGTTACTTCATTCCTCCACTTCACAGTGTATCAATCATTCATTCATTCAACAAATACTTACTCGGCACCTATTATTTGCCAGGCACTGTTCTATATGCAGAGGATACACCAGTGAACAAGAGAGACAAGGTTCCTGCTTTCCTGGAACTTATGTTCTAATACAGGAAGATAGACAATAATAATAAAAATAATATTAATTATAATAATAGCTAACATTTATTTAACAAGTACTGTTTTCTGAGACAGTTTACGTGCTTTACAAGTAAGTATTAATCCACTAATTCTTATAATAACATTATGAAGTACAAACTAGAATTATTCCCGTTTTACACATGAGGAAACTGAGAGCACAGAAAGGAAGAACAGCTTGCCTAAGATTACACAGCAAGGAAAGGGCAGAACTGGAATTTAGAACCAAACCAGTCAGGCTATCGCTCTCTTTCCCTTTTAATGACTTTTCTATGCTGGCTCTCAGACAAGACACAAAGCAATACACAAATCATAAATAGAGGTCATAGTATGAAAAACAAAGCAGGGTAAGGTGGTGGTATATGTGTGTGCAAATTTGGGGTGCAAATTTAGATGCCAGGGAAAACCTCACTGAGGAAGTGACATTTGGACTGAGACCTGAAGGGCCCTAGTAGCTATTCTGGGGCACAGGCAGCAGAGAAAAGCTCATGTAAAGAAATCTGTCCTTGTGTGTGAAACAGAAACGCCTGCTTGGCTGTGGCGCTAGACCTTAAGTGTGGAAGATAGTGACCGATTAGAAAAGCCAGGGCGACAGGCAGGCCAGGCCACGCCGGATGGGTCCTCGGGCCACATTAAAAAATTTAATCGTTGTTCTAACTGCAATGGATCTCTATGCAGGAGATAACACTACCCGATTCACAACTTTAAAAGGCCCCTCTTGCAGCTCTCTGCAAAATTGCAGGTAGGACACAAGTGCAAGCAGGAACATCTCCTAGGAGGCAGTTACCATCCAGGCGGAAAATGGTAGCGGCTTGGACTAGGGCAGTGACCGCGGAACAAAATTCAGGGTAAATTTGCAAAGTTGCATTGGCAAGACTTGCAAAGGAACCGGACGTGAAGAGTGACTGAAGAGGAATTTAAGTAGGAACCTCGAAACTGGGGGCTGAGTAGCCAGTGCAATGGTAGTGTCCCCAAGGGGATGTGTAAGGGGAGGGGAGAGATACCTTCAGCAAGGAAAATCAATATTGACATTTTTGAACTTCATGGAAGAAAGGACTTTTTCTACTTTTTTTCCCCACTTAAAAGTTTCACATAAGAGTTCTGAGGGGGAAAAGCATCTTAATGTTCAATTTTATGAGCTCTTTTACATTAGAAACTCGAGGGAGTTGAATTTTCAATTGTTTAGCAAAATAATTTATTGAGCATCTACTCTGGCCACACACTGTGCGATGAGAGAGCATGATACGCTAAGCAAACAAGACCCCCTGCTCGCAGAGTGTCTGGGGGGCCGGAGGCGGGGAGAGGAGGGAAGGAGGGCTGATTTTCCCCCTGTTCGCTGCCTTATTAAAACTTCACCTATGGCGCGAGGAGCCATCTTATCACTGCAGCTCGCGCTCCTGGCAGTTGGGCCCACCGCTCCCAACGCCCGAAGCCAATTCATACATAAATGAATCTCTAAATCGTGACACCACCCCTCCCGCTAGAACTCAGGTTTTTTTAAACATAAAATTTTAGCAAACAATACGAATACAACCTTTGCTCTGAAGGCTAATATTTTTTTTTTTTTTGCAGGAATGGTACCTTTATAAAGATCGTGGTTGCCCCCGTACTTATTTGTTCTTTCTTCATATCCACTTAAATGAAAATACTAGTGTTTCCGTAGCCCAGCCCTCTAGGCTGGTTGGGTCTAGCTCTGGAGAGAGGCAGCAGGAGCCGTTGGATTTAAACAGTTGGGAGGAATCCTTCTCTACGCTCCCTCTCGCTAGCCGGGGACGTGGTGGCGGCTACCCGGGGCTTTCCGTCCACGCAGTACCGGAATGAAGGAGTCTGGGAGGGGGTCGGGGAAGGAAAAGACGGAAGAGACATTAAGTAATTGGTTCTTGGAGGTATAAAATGATGTTTAAGATCAGCTCTACGGCACCGAATTCAAACGACCGCCCCCTCGGCCGTTTCGGCCCCGCCCCTCGCTGACGTCACTCCGACTTCCCCCTCGGCCCCCGCGGATTGGTCGCTTCCTCCGCCCCCGAAGGGCGGCCAAAGGGCTTGGCGTTCACTTCCGGGTCTTGGGCTGTGGCCCCGGATGCAGAGGATTCTGGGAGCCCGAAAGTCGATGGAAATGTCTGTGTGATCTCCGGAGGCTGCCGAGTCGGAGGGACGAGAGCAGGTTGTCTTTCTCGTCCGAGTGGGGCGGGAGGAGGCGGTTGGGATCGGAGCCGCGGGCGGAGGGCCCTGCGTGGGTCCCGGGCGCCGCGGAGAGCGCAGCGCGAAGGCAGCGCTGCAGACGGCGCTCCGCGGGGTCCGGGCCTCCCCGGCCCTCGCCCAGTTGGCGAGGCGAAGTCCGCGGGTTCCTGCCGACATCCCGACGGCGCGCTCCCGGGAGACGGGAATAATTATCCGGCTGCAGGAAACACTGTCTCCCCCTCGGGATACGGACCTCCCTTTCCCTTTTTTGAAAATCTAGAGACGTGTGCCAGTTCCCCCCACATCCCCGCCTTCATCCCACTTGCTTTTCCGACGCTTAACGGGGTCTTAGGAGCCACTTGTATTATGTTAGTTTACTGTTATTTTGGCTGTTCATTGCCAAAGGCAGCGTAAGGCCGGGTCCCCGAGGGTATCAGCATCCTTAGGGGTGGGGTTCCTGCCTTTGGAACATCCCTTAAATTGTAATTTGTAACTTACAGAAGATCTGACTTGTGCTCTATTGGCTGCCGTAAGAAACAGGTGGATCAGCAAAAGGCTGGGGAATTTTGCCCAGGGAACTGTTAGTGTTTGTTTTTGTTGTTTAGTCCTCACGCGAAGACATCTTTCCATTGTTTTTAGAGAGCGTGGAAGAGGAAGGGAAAGACGGGAGAAGTACGTATCGATCTGGGAGAAACACATCGACTGGTTGCCTCCTGTCGGGGCCCTGAGCAGGGCCCAGGCCGGGGAGGGACCTGCGGCCGCGGCACCTTCCTTGGTCAGAATCGAACCGGGACCCTTTGGTCCGCAGGCCGAGGCTCTGTCACCGAGCCAAACCGGCTCCCCCGGTAACTGTTACTGAGGTGTAGCACACTTTCACCCGGGACCGTGATGACATTATCTTTTTGTGTGAGGTTTAAATATCCCTTTTGTAGTGTCTAGCCTGTTTTCTGTTGTGCCGGGCCGCAGGGGCTCTGGTGGAGTTGAGAATTTTTAAAACTCAGTCGTGGCAATACTGTATTTCACAAGGGCTTTGCTGCTCAAATCCTATATATTAAGAGGCTAATATGCAAGTTGTCCCCTGGACCAGGAGTTGGACCAGGGGGTGGGGCCGGCAGGTCAGCCTCCCGGGTCCCCTCCCCAGGGTTGGCCCAGCCCCATTGGCCCCATCGGGGTGGGCCAGCTGGACCCGCCTGGGCACGAATTCGTGCACCGAGCCTCTAGTCTCGTAATAATTCTATGAAGAATGTCCCCGTTCCTTAGATGACAGAAACTTAAGCTAGGTGACTTGCCCAAGGCCACAGAGACAGGAGAACAGGAACACAAACTCAGATCTTCACGACGGAACTTTTTGTGCTAAGTAGGAGTTACCTGAGAACCTTAATCTTTGTACACCCTGAGCCTCATTTGTTTTCTTGAGAACTTCTGTGTTGAGGTTATTTAAGGAAGTTTTGGAGAGTGAGTTAATGGAAATTATTTCCCAAGGGTGGATATTAATTAAATACTTTAAGAAATGAGAAGTTGCCATTTGGTAAATAACTTGATATTATTTTTCTTCACAGCATAAAAGATGACAACTGCAGCTCGGCCAACTTTTGAACCTGCGAGAGGCGGGAGAGGAAAAGGAGAAGGTGACTTGAGCCAACTCTCAAAGCAGTATTCAAGTAGAGACCTACCCTCTCATACAAAGATAAAATACAGGTAATGAAGACTTTCATTTTCTTGTTCACAAAGCAAGTGGCATGGTCATGAGATAGTAATATGTTTGGGTTATATCACTTAAGTCATCTATTTTTATATAAGTAGAATGTAATAGGATATCTAACACTAAAATTATATGCTAGGATTGTAAAAAGCTACCAGATATTTCTTAAGCAGAAATTCCTGTTAACCAAGAAATTCCTGATAACCAAGAATATCCATAGGTAGATGGAAAAGTAATACATTTCTTCCAAGAGACAATGCACTCTCAGTACTAATCAATATGAAAATAAAGCGTTATTGTAATGTTTCCTGAGTTGACCTACTAACAAAAAATAAAGACATTTTAATGGATCTCCAGCCTTATTATGGGAATATATGTAATTCATTTTGGGATTCTTGAAATATTACAAATATCATGTGGGTACCTATAAGTTACCCTCAGCTTAGGGTAATATCTCTTCCAGTTCCTTCTTTTGTGCTGGAGGGACTTGAGGACAAAGTTGCTTTTTGTGTATTATCTTCCATTGCTACAGCCATGGGTTTTTAGAAACATTTTTGCCCTGGTTTGTTTCTACTTCAGACAGACCACTCAGGATGCCCCTGAAGAGGTTCGGAACCGTGACTTCAGGAGAGAATTAGAAGAGAGAGAGAGAGTTGCTGCGAGAGAAAAGAATAGAGATCGTCCAACTCGAGGTACCAACACATAGGTCTCATAAGATTGTTGACAGTACCCTAACCGGTTTGGCTCTGTGGATAGAGCGTCGGCCTATGGACTGAAGGGTCCCGGGTTCGATTGCGGTCAAGGGCATGGACCTTGGTTGTGGGCACATCCCCAGTTGGGGGTGTGCAGGTGGCAGCTGATCGATGATTCTCTCTCATTGATGTGTCTAACTCTCTATCCTTCTCTCATCCTCTCTGTTAAAAAATATATATATATATTGTTGACAGTACTTTTTCTTTCACTTGGTAATTGGAATAGGCTACTATTTGTGTTTGCTTTTAAATATTGGTGTGAGTTGCAACACTACTAAATGATATCAGATTTGGTTAGATTAGTTAGATTAAAGGTGATAATAAAGTTGATTCTAGTTCCATCTTCTTATGGTTCTATAGAAGGAATAAGATGACCTGGGGATATTTAGCAGCCATTGTTTCAGTTTAGATCAAAATATTTATAAGAGCCAGACTTTTTGAGGCCCCATGGTTTCTGCCTATGAAGTTCTCCCATTTTTGTTGGAAGGCATGTAGGGACATATATTTCTAGCTTATGTAAACTATTCTCTGAATTTCCTGAGAGAGGCTACAGTTCCCATATTAAAATCAATACTTTCATTAATTTATTCAACAAATGTTTATTACCAAGGGCTTATTTGGCAGGCACTGTGGTTTTGATCCCTGTGTCATGATAGACATAATCTAAGTTCTTTGTACCCACAGGTCCCTAAATGTTACAAGCAATGCAGTCTTTGTTTCAGTGAGCTAAGCGTTGTCTGTCTTTCCCAGAACATACAACCTCCTCTTCAGTGTCAAAGAAGCCTCGGCTAGACCAGATTCCTGCTGCCAACCTCGATGCAGATGATCCTCTGACAGATGTATGTTTTGTTTCCTCCTTTCATCTCCATAGTAACTTATATCATGTTTTCTGAAATTTTTTTATTCATGTGGTTTTAACCAGTGCCCTGTACTTATTTTTACTGACCTATTATTCAAATGCTAAACTTTATAGTTGATTTTAAAACAAAAAATGTTGCTAGTTAATCAAACTTTATCTCTAGAGAATCAAATAAGGAAGTGATTTATTAAAGAATTTGCTTCCCTAAGAAATAATTTCTCATAGTTACCCATAGAGTTTGGGCTGCCATGTTTTCCATCTCCAGAGGGCACTCTTCAGACTGGGCACTCTATCAGTAGCAGCCCCTAAAGTTGAACTTTAGAAACCGCTGATGCCCCTCCAGAGTGCAGCACGCTTAACTGGCTCCCTCTGCGCTGAGGGCGGGAAGTGAGCTAAGGGGGAGATTTTAAGGGTTAGTGCTTTAGTGACATGAAACTTTAATGGAACCCACAGCCTACAATTAATTTGCAGTTTTCTACTTACAGTGAAATCTGAGTGATCTTTCATGAGTAGCATCTGATTAAGCACATAAATCAGCAATTCTAGAGTGGACAGCTTGAATTAAATAATTCAGTTAATTAAATAGAGGGAACTCAGTGAGATTTAATGATTATCCATTTGAAATTGGTTTCTTCTGAGAAGTTAGCACCCTTTTAGTACTTTTGATTATCCTAATAGGTCTAAGTTTTAGGCTGGATAAAACTATTTTGATTCTTAGGGTGATACACTATGTATATATGTGCTGTGTATATCAGTGTAAAGTGTTACTTTTCTAGTTTTAGAAATATTTTTATGTCTAAATTCCCTTTGACCATGTAAATTTGAAAGGTACTTTGTTATACTATTTGTTGTTACAATCTCTAAAACATAACAGGGGTTGACATTTTAGTGAGTTTTCATAAGCTTTTTTGTGGGTTTTGTTTTTTGTTTAGTTGTTGATTTTAATAATATCTAGGTGCATCTATCTCTCCCACTGGGAAAATTAATCCTGCTCCAAAGACCTGGCAATTCTTATGGGGGGAAAATTAATAATGTGAATTTTCTCTTCAATGGGCCATCACATTCTTTTTTAGGAGGAAGATGAAGATGAAGATTTTGAAGAGGAGAGTGATGACGATGATACTGCAGCTCTTCTGGCAGAACTAGAAAAAATTAAAAAAGAAAGAGCTGAAGAGCAAGCCAGGAAGGTAAAATGAAAGTGTTAAATATTTACATCTTCTTTCATAAACTAAAGTAGAAATATTTTTAATATCAAGTAAAATCTTATATTGGAAATTGTCCCTGGTATGTCTAGATATATCACCTGTAGATCTAGAAATCTGATAAATTTTTATGGCATTTTAAGTCACTTGGTAATGTGGGAAATTCTTTCCAAATAGTTCAGACATGCTTAATAATGTAATACTCATCTTGCTCTTTATACACTTATTTGTTTGTTTTCTCAACAGACATTTAGTTAATGTCTATTAAGTGTCAGAAGAATCAAAAATGATTTAGTCATGGCCTACAAAGAACTCACGAATATAATGAGGTCATCGTCTTGTCTTCCCTGTTTCCTGCTTCAGCCTTCTTTCCAGGCACTTGTTGAAGCAGTCTGTCAATAGATTTTACATAATCTAGGGCAATTCACCTAACTTCTCTGAGTCTCCACAGTCTCTCAATTCACACAATGGGAGAAAAGAATATCTAACTCAAAGACAGTTGTAAGGATTAAATAAGACCCATAGTAATAACAATAAGAGATGAAATTGGAGGCAGGAACAGGCCAAAAGCATTAGAGAGCCCGACCAGCATCGCTCAGTGGTTGAACTTTGATCTCTGAACCAGGAGGTCATGGTTAGCTTCCCGGTCAGGGCACATGCCTAGCTTGTGGGCTGGATTCCCTGTAGGGTGCATGCAGGAGACAGCTGATCAATAATTTTCTCTCATCGATGTTTCTATCTCTCCCTCTCCCTTTCCCCCTCTCTGAAGTCAATTTTTAAAAAAAGCATTGTAAACCAATGCTAAAGGAATTTGGACTCTGTTTTGAAGAATAGGAGCAGCTGGTCAATTTCAACAGGAGATTGGTGAGATTATGCATTTTTAGAAAGATTACTCTGACAGAAGTATGGAAGAAGCTATTCCAATAATCCTCACATGCATTTATGATAATCATACTTAATAGGAGTTGGAATTGAAAGAAGTAAACGGATGCTGATAGGAGCTATCAAGGAGGTAGAATTGACTAAATAAATTGACTGATCAGATGTGGCAATAAAGATGATCCCATTTTCTGGGTAGATGTTGGTGCCATACACGAACAGGGAATACAGAAGGATGGGCAGAGAGAAAAGAGGTGATACAGAAGGGAGGTGGAGAGAAAAGAGATGATGAGTTCTGTTCGGAACATGTTTTTGATACTTGATACATTATGAGATGACCAAGTAGAGATAGCTGTCTCCCCTTTCAACCAGAACAGAGCAGCTCTTTTATGGCATATGGCATCTGTGTAAGATTACATGTGAGCCAAAGATTGTTCTGTTTAAAAAAGAGGAAGAAGACTTAGAGAAAAGACTGGCATAGGTTAATGTTTGGAATCTAGGGAGGTTGTAGAGTTCATGTGTTGGCAGAAGGGCCATCAGAAAAGAGATCAAATGTGGGATAGGCTTTGGTTTTAGTTTTTTGGGGTTTTTTTGTTTTTTTGCATTAATCTTTTTATTAACGACTGTCAGTAGTGTCAAGAAAAACATGCCAATGGAATAATGATTTTACTTCAACTTGAACAAAATAAAGAATGAACAATTGGTTTTGACTATAAAATGATATTTATAGAACAAGCAAAATATCCCTCTTACATAAACCTATCTTTTAAATATATTTTATTGATTTTTTACAGAGAGGAAGGGAGAGGGATAGAGAGTTAGAAACATCAATGAGAGAGAAACATCAATCAGCTGCCTCCTGCACGCCCCCTACTGGGGATGTGCCCGCAACCAAGGTACATGCCCTTGACTGGAATCGAACCTGGGACCCTTGAGTCCGCAGGTCGATGCTCTATCCACTGAGCAAAACCGGTTAGGGCAACCTATTTTTTTTTTTTTCACTGTTCTCCCAATAGTATATATTGGGATAGGCTTTGAAGACTGCTAGAATTCAGATTGGAAGAAGAAAAATATTTTACTGCTCAGTTATCAGAGTTTGGCACAGGAGAGCATAACTTCTATAATAGCTTAATAATTTTTACATCTAATTGTAGAAATCAAAGAATTTAAGAACATTTCTAAAATCACTTGTACACCACTAGAGGGCAATTGTTCCGAATACATAGACAGATGAGCAATTCAAATGCAATGGTTAACCTTTAAGGAGGATAAACATTTTAGACCAGTGGTCGGCAAACTCAGTCAACAGAGCCAAATATCAACAGTACAACATCGATTGAAATTTCTTTTGAGAGCCAAATTTTTTAAACCTAAACTATATAGGTAGGTACATTGTTATTAACTTAATTAGGGTACTCCTAAGCTGGCCTTTGCTAAAAATGTCCTCAGTCTGATTGAGGTACGTTTGCTGAGGTCGACCCCTTCCAACTCTCCCATCCACACTCGTCTTGTTTACTTGTTTCGTCCATCTCCTTTCGTTCATCCTCTCTATATGTCCAAACCATCTCAACATACCTTTCTCAATCCTCGACACTACATCTTCTTTCACTCCACAACGTTCCCTAAAATTAACTTAATAAACTTTACTTAAAGTTTTAAGTCAACTTCGCACTGTACGTGCGCGCCCGCACGTGGTATTTTGTGGAAGAGCCACACTCAAGGGGCCAAAGAGCCGCATGTGGCTCGCAAGCCGCGGTTTGCCGACCACTGTTTTAGAAGATCTTGTAATTTTGTGAGGTTCATCTGACCTCTGTACAAAAATGTGTTGGTGTTTCTTGGAGTTGCCTGAGTTTTAGTTCCCTATTGCACTGGCTTTCTAGTGGTTGCTTTGTGTGTGTCCTAAAAGAATATTTCAAACCAGTCTGCCTATATCAGAGGTTGGGAAACTTTCTATAAAGGGCCAGGTTATAACTACTTTAGGCTTGTGGGCTACAGCCCCTGTCACAACTATTCAGCTCTGCCTGTTGTAGCACAAGCAACTCTAGACATAGACAGGACCTAAATTAATCAATGTGACTCTGTTCAAATAAAACTTTATTTACACAACAAGGTGGTTTGGATTTGACCCCCATAATGTGCCTGGTACTTGAATATGGAAAGAGTGGCATCTTTTCCAGGGCTGTGTGTAGCAACCAACCAGTAACTCTAAAGGACATATATTCCAAACATAGAACGGCCAGGACCTTATTACATCACACACATTGTTATAAGTTTGGATACATTGTATACTTGAGCTCCTATTTTTCTAGCATCTCAGAGTAATGTTTTAAATTTCAGCATTAATATAATTTGTTAAAAAATAAATACATAATTTATAGAAAGCTGTCTGTTCTTAATATATGATGGATGTTCCTGACTTCGCTAAAGATCTGAACAATGGCCTAAATTATTTTTCCCCCTGAAAATTGCATTTTTATCACCTTCCAGTTATTTGGCCTCATAAGAAAATGAAATCCAGTGCTCACAGTTGGATGTTGCGGAGACTGGATGGACAGGGGGCGTAGAGGGATTGAGCAAAAAAGAGAAAAAGATCATGGACACAGACAAGTGTGATTGTGGAGGGGGAGGGTATAGGGGAGATAAATGGTGATGGACAGAGACTTGACTTGGGGTGGTGAACACACAATACAGTGTACAGATGATGTGTTGTAGAATTGTGCATCTGAAACCTGTATAATTCTGTTAACCCATATCTCCCCAATAAATTTAATTTAAAAAAAAAAATGAAGTATTATTAACCTGTACTGAATATCAGGTTATTTTTCCAGGTGGTTTAACGTAAGTTTATTTTATTTATTATTATTTTGCTGCTGTTAATTCTCACCTGAGAAAACTTTTTTCCATTCTTTTTGTGGAAAGTGGGGGGCAGGAGGGAGAGAGAGAGAAGCAGAGATGGGAGAGAAACACATTGATTGGTTGCCTCCCACACGTGCCCCAACTTGGGCCAGGGATTGAGTCTGCAACCCAGTACATGCCCTTGACCAGGAATTGAACCTTGGACCACAAGCCAACGACATTCTAACCACTGAGCAACCGGCTAGGGCAACATAGGTTTATTTTAAATGGACTAACAGAAAGTCTTTTTTTCTTTCTTTTTTTTAAGAATTTTTGTGAGTTTATTTGAGCTAAACTGTCGACATATGCCGGGAAGCAGAACCTCAACGAATTGAGATAGTGCTCCAGAGAATGGCGGAGAAAGTCTTTTTTTCCATGCTCTATTAAGTTATTAATTTATCATCCCAAGACACAGCAAAGTGGGATTTATCTTTGGGTTAAGATATAAGATAGCATGGAATCAGATAGGTCTAGAAGTTACGATTATGTATTTTTAGACATTTTACCTTCCTAAGTCTAAGAGTGAAACTGAGGGGGATTTGAATTTGAAGTTCATGCTAAAATAAAAGTGAAGAAAGATAAGCTTGTAACTGGTAAGGTATGAGAGGTATAGAAACAGAAATAACAAGTCATAAGGACAAAATGAATAAGCCTCAAGTAATTGCTAGAAATGCATGTTAACATTATAATTTTGAGAGTTTCTTATTTTAGGAGATACTTTTTGGTTAATAAAACTTGTCAATAATTTTAGAGATGCATGTTTACATTGTTAGTAATTCTAAATAAAATTTTTATATTCAGTTATGTATAGCCTTTTAAAAATTGAGGTAATAGTTTTGCTAAATGTCTTTTATGTTTAGTGTATATGTATATATATATACACATATATTTTAGAATATATGTTTAATTTCAGAGAGAGGGGGGGAGAGAGATAGAAACATCAATGATGAGAAAGAATCATTGATTGACTGCCTCCTGCAAGCCCCCTAACTGGGAATGGAGCCCAAAACCTGGGTATGTGCCCTGATCGGGAATCAAACCGTGACCTCCTGGTTCATAGGTCAACACTCAATCACTGAGCCACACTAGCCAGGCTAGTATACTCGAATTATTAGAATGTTTATTGGTCTACTCACTTAAAATAAGCAAATTCGTGATTACTTCAAAAAAGAAAGATTTAAGTATGCATCTGAAGAGTTTCAGAGTTAGAAGACAGTAATGAATGATGGCATGCATGAAACATTTATAATAAAAATGTCAAATTATTAAAAAATGTCAAATTATTTTATTTTGGAAAGGGAAACTTTCTGGTATGTCTTGAAAACAAACAAACAAAAAAAACCCACTACCTTAATTCTTATCCCTAGCAGTCTTTTAATATATGAGTTGTATAAAAGATTGACACTGGCCCTGGCTGGTTTTGCTCAGTGGATAGAGTGTCGGCCTGCAGACTGGAGGGTCCCGGGTTTGGTTCCAGTCAAGGGCACATGCCCGGATTGTGGGCTCGATCCCCAGTAGGGGGCATGCAGGAGGTAGCCAATCAGTGATTCTCTATCATCATTGATGTTTCTCTCTCCTCCTTTCCTCTCTGAAATCAATAAAAATATATTTAAAAAAAAAAAAAGATTGACCCTGACATTACTATAAGTAAATACTAATCTTCCTCTGTCATTGACAGGAACAAGAACAAAAAGCTGAAGAAGAAAGAATTCGTATGGAAAACATTCTAAGTGGAAACCCTCTCCTTAATCTCACTGGCCCATCCCAGCCTCAGGCCAACTTCAAAGTTAAAAGAAGGTACTATATACAGTAATCAGTTGAAAATACATACACACATGTGAGTTTTATAGCAAACTATGTGTAAAGCTTTTAAAATTCCACTTTTCACTGGTAATCATCTGTGTCTGATTTTGGAATAATGGAAGAAGGAGAATGAGAGGAAATAATATATTTTCCATAGGTATTTACAGTAACCAGCTGTGTACCAGCTACTGTTGTAAGCATTAGAGACGGAGCAGTGCACTGAGCCTTTGACCCTGTGAAGTTCACGTTTTAGCTCTGTGTGTCAAGGATCCCAAGTGCACCCTTCACATTCGGAGACTCACTAGGAGGATTAGGGCCTCAGCATATAGTTGTACTCATGACAGAGTTACACAGCCAGATCATAAGGGGAAAGGCATCAAAGGAATCCAGGCGCACGCTTCCTGGAGGGGCCACACACAGCACATCTTTTCCCCTGGCAACGAAAATGTAACATCTGCCCAGGGAAGCCCTTTAGAGACTCCATGCCCAAGGGTTTTATGTCACAGAGGTATCCTCTGCCTAGCATATACCAAAATTCAGACTCCCATAAGGGAAACAGGTGTTCCACATAAACCACAGTATTTGTACAAAGAGTCTAGGCCAGCCGTGGACAAACTACGGCCTGCGGGCCGGATCCGGCCCGTTTGAAATGAATAAAACTAAAAAAAAAAAAAAAGACCGTACCCTTTTATGTAATGATATTTACTTTGAATTTATATTAGTTCACACAAACACTCCATCCATGCTTTTGTTCCGGCCCTCCGGTCCAGTTTAAGAACCCATTGTGGCCCTCGAGTCAAAAACTTTGCCCACCCCTGGTCTAGGCACAGTGATAGTGAGAAGATTCTTAGAGTCCAAGTTTCCAAATGCTAGCTTAGGGCCAACCTTGCAAGCGGTGCCTTTCTAAGGATAGCAGTTTTAAGCCTACCATATTTACTCTTCTGTATAGTGGGCGTGTTTGGAGGGATGAAGTAAAAGGCTGAAGAGGGAGAGACTATAAACAAAGCTCAGTTGGTTTGAATATCATCCCGATAAGCCAAGGCTGTGGGTCGATCCTTGATCAGGGCGTATACAAGAAGCACCAATGAGTGCATAATTAAAGTGGAACAACAAACCGATGATTTATATTTTCTCTGTCCCTCCATCTCGCCCCCTCCTTCTCCCTTCCATCTCTCTAAAATCAGTTAAAAAATTCTTTTAAATAAAGTTATCTGCTACATAGGAAAACCACTATTAAGCAAATAACCACTACCACCCTTAAGAAGTGAAACAATAATAATAACTGAATATAGTACTTGAGGTAGTGATACATAGGCAAATAAAACAGAACAGCTTATAGGAAGTGCTGAGTGGGAGGAAGCTTGGTTATTTTGTATAAGGTGATCAAGGAACCCTGTAGGCTTAGCTTTCACACGTATCTATGATTTCTCACCAGCTCCACTGCTACTATGTCCAAGCAGGCCCTCACTGGTCTGCTTACGCGCTCACACTCTCCTTCCCCACCCCCAGTTTTTTCCTAACACAGCAGTGTTGTGGTCCTTTTAAAGTGAAAGATCACAGTCTCCTGTTTTAGGCTACCCCGTGGCTTCCCAACTCATTTATAGTAAAAACTCGACTCCTTACAATGGCAACAGCATGGCTAAGGACAGTAATTGCCTGGCAGCTGACATTAGCAGAGGCCAGACTCTAAGTATTTGACCTGAATGTTAAAGGATAGAGATGGGGAAGAATGTAAACGGAAGTGGTTGGGAGAGGTGACAGACACAAGATGTCAAATTCAGAATGTTGTATAAATCTACGTGGAGATGTTGAGTTAGGTAGCTTGATGAGTGGTTCTGGAGTGAATCCAGGCTAGAGACAATAAATTTGGGAGCTGTCATCTTACAGAAATTTTCTAAAGCCACAAAGACGAGATGAGGTCACCTAGAGAATGAGTGCAGCTAGAGGGAGAAGTCAGAGGGCCAAGTCCTGGATAACATTTGGAGAGTAGATAGGTGGTTAACTATCAATACCTGGAACATACTGGGTGCCCAGTACATACTACCCAGTATTTACATGCCCAGTAAATATTGATTAAATGAAAAAAGGAAAAGGAAAAAAAAAAACAGGCTAAGACGGAGTGAGGAAGGAGGTGAAGCAAAAGATTGGTGGGTGTCTTGGAAGCCAAGCAAACAAGGCTTGCTTTCGAAAAGAGGAGAGTGATAGGTCAAGTAATGATGACAGGGCAAGTAAATGAGTGCTGGAAAGTGGCCCTTGGACTTAGCAACATGGAAGAGCAGGTTGATGTTGAGAAGGAGGCTAAAAGCCTGTTGGGAGTGAGTTGAGAGGGTAGATAGAGGAGAAACTGCATCGAGTATATTGATGTTAAACTCTCCTTTGTCCTCCTGCCTTGTTTGGATGCAGTTAGAATTGTGTGGCGACTGGAACAGTCTTAATATGCAGGTCACAACTGACCCAGCTCTGCTCAGCTTTTCACTCACCTGTGTCCTGCACCACGATGAGCTTCCTGACACTTCCCACGGATGCCATGCTCTTGGCTTATTGTCCGTGTGCAGTGTCTTCTGGCATGCAACTGGTGCACACAAACACATCACATGGCTTCTATTTTATATGTATTTGTGAGAGTATATATTACAGAGTGGATTTTTGTTTTATAGGCTAGATGGTATTTTGAAATTACATTCTTGGTTTTCTATAAAACGTTATTTTGTAGCCCATCCATGGGTGTTCTTTTATGCTTGTGCATTATGAAACCCAACCAGACGAATCCAACCACAGTCCTGCCCTAAGCTCTTCAGCTTCTGTTTCTTCATAGTTTATGCAGATGTGTGCCAATATATGAGCGTTATTGTTATATGCCAGTACTTCTCCTTTTGTTGTCCCAAAATGCAGATACGACAGTGGATGATTACTAAATGCTAACTGATGAAAGAGTACATAAAATGCTTAAAACCGCATAATCTGAACTACAGTAAATTGGTCAGTTATCATCTAGAGTTGTCTGTATTAATCAGGGTGGTACCAGGTACTGCCTCTTTGTTTTAGAACTGAAAACATTTGATATTTATGCAATTAAAGTTTATATATTTCTGCTTTCTGAGTTAGTCAAAGCATCTTGTACTGGAGAAGTGACAAGAATGTTTTTTATGTTCTTTCTAATTGCCCTTTCTGCTGTGATAGAGCTAGATCACAGCCTATGCAAAATTACTGTCTTCTTTGGGGCATATGTAATTGCTGCCTCTGTATACATGCTGACCACCTTTCTGTGTAATGACTAAGCTTTGCAATTCACACGGTGTATCTCCTGATACAAGCATTATAAGAACATTTTGTTTTCTTTTTCTTCAGGTGGGATGATGATGTTGTTTTCAAGAACTGTGCAAAAGGTGTGGATGACCAGAAGAAAGACAAAAGATTTGTTAACGATACGCTGCGATCTGAATTTCACAAAAAGTTCATGGAGAAATATATTAAATAGTACAGTTTTATGTGCTTTATTAAAGACTATAAAATGTAAATGATCATTCTGACTTTACTTGGTTAGTTTGTTGTTGTTTTTTTTCCTTTTCCCCCACATTTAAATTGTGAATAGGCCTAATTTTAAGTTCCGAAATATCTTTTTCTTGATTGGTACCTTATTTGATAAGTAAGAACTTGGGAATTGTCTTAAATCAGTTTCCAGTCTCTGAATGTTTTCAGTCTCTGAATGTTTTCAGTCAGGTTTTCTTTTTAAGATTCAAAAGGTAATCTGCTTATAATGTTTTTAATAATTCAAATAACCAAATTCATGTCCCCCAACTTTTTTGTTTAAATGTATGCAGCTTATGAAACATTGCATATTTTCTTTTGTGTATTGTATTTCTTTGTACATTAACTTTCTCCTCATTTCTCTAACATGGATTTAAGGGCAGTTAATTCATGATATCTTCCTGTGTTTTTTTGAAAAGTATGATGAAAGATTAAAGGATTCCATCGAGGCCCATATGATGCAATGGAAATGTGTCATAAGCCAGGAAGCACCCTGATTTGTGTGAGGGAGCACGGGGTATCTTCCTTTCCCAGAGGCTCCTGGCCCAAGGCGAGAGCTCCTGAAGCTGCTGAGGAAGCATGTGGCATCACCTTGTTCTCCTGGATACTCAGCTAACATGTTTCTGTCAAATGGGATGGAGTCTGCACACCACCACACATTAGATGCAAAGCCTAGGGAAATTTTAACATCAAACGATACATGAAATAAAACTTTTGGAACCTGGCCGGTGTGGGTCAGTGGTTGAGTGTCGACCCATGAACCAGGAGGTCAGGGTTTAAGCAGGCTCTATGCCCAGTAGGGGCCATGCAGGAGGCAGCCGATCAATGAATGATTCTTATCTCTCCCCTCCTCTTTTCTCAAATCAATAAAAACATATTTTTAAAAAACAACCTTTGGCAATTGGATTTTGCTTATTTGTTATCTTGGGAGGATGTGTACATGTAAAGTGGAAATGTCTACTCAGCTAGGAAACGAAGTTTTCCATAAACCCAGGCTGTGATTTTAAGGGTGTCATTTGGATAGTAAGTTTGGGACCAAACATTGAGCCTTCTACAGACACATAAAGACCCATTCTAAGATCTTATCCACTAGCTGTGGTCGGCAAACTACAGCTCTTTGGCCCCTTGAGTGTGGCTCTTCCTAAGTCTTAGGAGTACCCTAATTAAGTTAATAATGTACCTACCTATATAGTTTAAAAAGTTTGGCTCTCAAAAGAAATTTCAATCGTTGTACTGTTGGTATTTGGCTCTGTTGACTAATGAGTTTGCCGATCATTGCACTACAGCATTTCCCCAGTGGGAGCCTGAACAGGGATGTGTGCAGCCCTAGTCGGGAGCAGAGCTGGAGATAGCCCAGGTGGACTCATTCATGCCCTGCACTTTATTTTCCAACTGAACTATTGACTCAAGATTATGAATACTTTGACTAGTTTTTTTAAAAATTATATGTTTATTGATTTTAGAGGAAGGGAGAGAGAAACAACAATGATGAGAGAATCATTGATTAGTTGCCTCCTGCAGGCCCCCTACTGGGGATCGAGTCTGCAGCCCAGGCATGTGCCCTGACCAGGAATCAAACCCTGAGCACACTGGCTGGGTGACTAGTGTTTTTTTTTAAGCTTTTAATATTAAAACATTTTAATCTCCAGCTTTACAATTTTAAAAAGTGCATTTCCATCCATTTGGATAGCTTGGGTGATAGGATCCAATTCTCTGTCCTAGGGTGGACTTTGTGGCCATCAGGGTTTCTCCAGGAGACAACTATCTGCCTAGTGGTCCACTATGAACACAAGGTCAACGTCCATCAGATGACAGGCTTGCTCCCTTCAGACTTCCCCTGCTTACCTTCCCCTCATTGTCACTAGTGAGAATTTTTTAAAATTTAAATTTATTATTTACTGTGGGAAGCCACCTATTGTCTTCACTAGCAGAGAGGTGTGGACAAGGGACCCGGAAGGCTGGTGACCCTTGAAGCCCTGGCAAAGGTCAGAGCTATGTACCACTGTTTAGTCCAGACAATGGTAGCTGAAGCAACTTCCCCACCAAATAGTCATGTAAATCCTTACTGATAAGATAGCCTGTCTGCAATTGGAACTTGCCTGCCTAAGGGTGATGGGTGGATCCCAAACTGAATAAAAAGATGGCGAGGCCTGAGCACAAGCCATCCTCTTGGGATGGGCTCTCGCCTGGCCCCCCAATTTCCAAGTTATCTCTTGTCTCTCGTTTGTGTGTGGCCCCTCTTCCAGATACTGAACCCTGAACCACGCGGGACATGGGGAAACATACAAATATACAACATCTACACATCATTTACATTGCTTTTGCTTCACTTTACCTGTTTTTACAAATTTGATATATAATTTCACATAAAAATAAATATATCTCATGTGTTATATGTGATATAAAAAATAAGATAAAAAGACCCAGTATTTTTCTATTACTTGGCTTCTTGCTCTCTGTTTTCCTATTTTCTCTCTTCTTCCGCATTAGCGCCTACTGGGTAACCCATGGGTATCATCCAGGTTTCTGTGCTCACATTCTCTCTCTCTCTCTCTCTCTTCCCCCCCCCCCCACACACATACACACATTTGTTTGTTTTTCATATGAGTCAATATGAGATAATTCTATGATTGTTATTTTTATTCAACAAAATTTATAGAAATATTTCTAAGACAACTGGCTCTAATTCATTCTTCTGAATGGCTATGTGCAAAACTCTGTGATGTTCTGGAACCATCTGCAAGATAATTTGATAACTTAATAATTACCTCTTGCAAAAGCTACTTAGTAAATAGAAATTTTGCAATCCAGTTATAAATCATAAGAAGCTTGAAATCAACCATAATGGAAGAATTTACACCATGGAAATTGGCAAATACTACAAATCAGGACTTTTATTTTTTTCAGAGAGCTAGTACCCCCCCCCCCCCCCAATGAGAGTCACAATAATCTAATCAAGCAATCACCTTTTGACTGGCTGTTTATTTTATATCTCTTTCTGGTTTCTTTTCTGTCTTTCTTCCCCCCACCCCCCACCCCCTACCACCACCACCCAGTGTTACAATAAACTCAGAGGATTTGAGCGATGCTGTACTGAAGAGACTTGGGCAGTTCCCCAAAATCATTCTGAGTCCTGACTGGACAGGGGAGTACCAGGTATCAGACCCCAACTGCAGCTCACTTATTATTTCCTTGCTGCCTATGAGGATGGACACTTTCTATGGGGTCCTCCCATGGTGTTAAACCTCTCCCCTTCCTTCCATTTCATGTTCTCCTCCATTTAAGCCCTTCCTACCTGTTGCCCTTCGCTGCTCCTTCACCCTAGCATTCTGAAGACCCACATGGAATAAGAGGTCCGAGTTCCCTGGGTTTTGGAAATTCTTCACCTGGGGGGATTGTGGGTGGTGTGGAGGTTGGGTAGCACCAGGAAGAAGTTTGCTCTGCAGGGTTAAGCTCTTAGTAAGCATGGCACAGCTTTATGTCGCTGAGCCCATAGCATCTCCAGCCCACATCCATTGCCAGAGCTCCTGCCCTTACTTCCAGCTGTCTGCTGAGCGTCTCCACTCGTGGCCCACAGCAACTCACACAAACATCTCGGAAATAGAACGCCTCCTCTCTCCTCTCCATCTCTGCCTTTTAGTAACCGCCCGCTGGGGGCAGCACTGCCCCTGAGAACAGCAATTTCTGTGGGGATTTCAATGGTAGTGTACACATGGAAAGCCTAGGTGTTCAGCAAGGTTGGTTCCCTTACCTCTGTCCCTCGTGATTCCTTTTTTCCTTCCTTCTCTCTTTTTTTTGAGGAAGAAAATTCTCAATTTAGGGAAAAAGTAAAGTTCATAGAATTTGCTTGCACTTAAAGGTAGAACATGTTCTTTGGACAGGAAAGCCAGGCTTGACAACAGGAAAGTGACATTCAGATTAGATACATTTTGCCACATTTTTATTGGTAAAATGGGCTGAGGTGGTGATGACAAAGGAGCAGGTTGGACTCCTCCTGGCTTTCTTGTCACCACACAAAGGGGCTCCAGGCCAGACCCACTGAAACCGATCATCGTAGGCCACGGGCCAGGCTGTGGAAGGAGTGGTTTCACTGAGGCCAAATAACTCAGAGGGGAAAACTTCCCCTTGAGTTTCAGTTTTAACCCACTTGAAAATTACCGAAGGCTGCAGGCACATCCACCAGCCCCCGACGAACACGACTACATCCATCTTCCCATTGTCTCCTGAGTGGGTTACAGGAAAAAGCTCATGAAACATGTGGAGACAGAACATAATTATTAAAAAGGCTGTCAGAAGCCTCTGAGCACCAAAGCAGCAATACCAGGAGAAGCGGAAATTGCCCATGCAGAGAAGTCTGTGGTTTTGATGGGGGGAGAATATATATGGGGTAGATACAGCGCTGATGTGCTTTGTGTATAATACTCAGTGCTTTTAGAAGGTGGATCTAAAGCATGTGCTTTAAAACTGAGCCCCTACTATGTGCAAGACCCTGTTCTCAATGTGACCTTCGAAGATGTCAGTTGTCTGCCTGTCTGGGGGTCAAAGGTGGGTTCCAAGCACAGCTGCACAACCTTCTTGACGTGGGTCCACTCATTTCACCTCCCGGAGCCTCACTTTGCCGATCTAAAAAATGGGGATAATGATTTCATTTTGTAAGAATAAGGCAAAACATGTGTAAAGCTCTTTGCATAATGCCTGATACATAGTAAATGATCAATAAACCTTAGTTCTCTCCTGCCCCCACCCCACCTTCTCCCACTCCCCTATCAACAAGCTACCTATTTTCTTCACTGCTGTGTTGCCCCTGCCTACAGGCATGCACACTGGCACACGATGAGGGAGCGGGGTGGAGGGAGCGAGGCGGCAAGGTGCAAAGCTGCACTTGAAGAGAAATAAATGAACATGTTCAAAGAACAAGAAAAAACAAGAGTGGTGAATGGGAACTGTTGAAGGAAGCCCACGGTTAGACCAGAGAAGAAAAGATTCAGGATTTGGCTTGGAGAGGTA